ACTCTGCTGGATCTCACCTCCCACCTCCTGTTACCTCTTAGGTCTCCCTGTGTTTTCCTCACATACACTGGCAGCCTGTGTCTACCCCAGACACTTTGCATAGGCTACTCCCTCTGCCTGAAATGCTCTTCTCTCCCTCATCACTCCCTCGCTCCTTTACTTCCTTCAATTCTTTGCTCAAATGTTACCTTTGTGAGGCCAAAAAGGACCACCCTATTTAAAACTGCAACTCTCATTCGTCAATTCCACATCACTCCTCTTCTGATTTTTTTCCATAGGACTTACCACCATGAAAAACTACACAATTTTATTATATTTTTGGTTTATTCCCAGCCTCTACCTCATTACTGCCACCCTTTGGAAGCTCTGAGCTTCACCGTTTGGCCTTCTATCCCACGAGTTTCAAAATGCAGCAAACGTGAGGGAGAGAGCACGTGCATGGTTCATGGTTTTGCAGGCTTCCTGCTCCATTTGCTTGGTTCCCTCTGTGAGAGCAGGGATTCTTGTCTCTTTTGTTCCATGAGATTATCTCCAGCACAAAACAGTCCATGGCATGTAGCAGGTGCTCAGTAAGTATTTTTGAATAAATAGAGATTTTGTAATACAACATGGTTGTAATAGCATAAAGCAAGTGCTATGGGAACACAGAAGACAGGGCACTGAGTTAGATCGCTGTTAACCGGCATTAAACTCTCATAATTGCTGACTACCTTTCCTACCTACTCTCAAGTCTGTATAACCCAGACTAGCCAGGGAGCATTCATACATGTACACACACACAATGAAAGGAACAAAGACCTCTTCCTCACTACCAGATTGCTTCGAACATTCTTATTCCTGTCTACCATGAAGAATAGAAGAAGATGGTTTTTAGTGGTAGGATTCTGATGGCTATTTGGAGTTTTTAAGCAGGACCAGCCAAATCCAAGGAAAGACTAACACGTGGACAACAAAGGACAGAACTTTACTCTGAGTAATAAAAAGACAGAGGGCTTCAAACATTCTTCACCATAGAAAATTTTCTAGTAAAAAATCAAGGAATTTGAGATAAAATTTCAATTTATCTTTTGGCACTGGTTAAAGAAAGGGGGATGAACACTAGCACTAAAAAAAAATCAGTGGTTATCATGAAAATACTGAGAGCAGGTTTTGCCCTATCCTAATAAAAGGAAAAGGGAATAGCATTTCCAAAATACACATCAAAGTAGGAAGGAAACTAGAAAATTAGGACTTTTCTAAACAGAGATTGTGCATAAGCATGATCATATGTGTATAAACACTCAGTGTATACAGATACACACAGATATAAACTAAATCTGCTTGCCAAAAACAACTTCCATAACAACCATCTGTTCTCAGCTACTTGGAATTTTCTCAAATTATCCTTCAAAGAAGGCCATTTTAATTCATTCTCTTTCATGTCAGAGACTCATATAATTTAAACTTTTTTTCCTTAGGGAAAATTTCAAAAATTTCCAACCCAAGTTGCCCCCAACCTCAACCAACCACCTGATTTATTTCTACTTAGGTAGGCACATGGGAGAGGCTCTAGCAAGAAGCAAATCACTTTTCAAATCACCAAGTATTTACTGAGTGTCATGGAGGGTGCAAAAGTAGCATCGAGTGAGATGGCCAGTCTCAGGGGCTTACATTCATGCAGGGAAAGCAAAATAAAACATTCTTCTTAGAAACGTCCCAGGGTAAATTCTAAGTGGTGTGACAGTAACTCGAAGTCCAACAAGAGTGCAGAAAGCAAGAATAGCTTGGATTTCACAGAATAGGTGAGGTTTTAATTGGGCCCTAAGGAATGATGGCTCATAAGAAGACAAGAAGCAGGAAGGAAAGCTGAAGTGAACCCAAAGGATGAAAGAATGAGTCCACAGGAAAACAGGATGCATATACGGAATACTAAGTAAACAGTCTTAGCAGAGCAAAAGCATTTCACAGAATGAAGAGGGGAAATAAATGGGGGTAAACAGATAGTGTGTGGCCACGTTTTTAAAAAAATCAGGCAGGGAGGGGGGCCCTGTGTGGTTCAGTCGGTTAAGCGTCCAACTCTTGATTTCAGCTCAGGTCTTAATATCAGGGTTGTGAGTTCAAGCCCTGTGTTGGGCTCCATGCTGGGTGTGGAGCCTACTTAAAAAAAAAAAAAAAATCAGGCAGGAATTTTGATTTAATATAGGAGTTAAGAAGCAACCACCTTAGAGCACAGAGCAGGGGCACTCCCCCCACAGCTCGGGGGAGCTGGGGGGTTCCTGAGGAAGGAAACAACTGGGCTCAGCCTGCCAGGCACAGCAAAAGGCCAGGCAACAGAGGGCTGGCTGCAGAGACACCGAGTGAGGCACAGGGACGGCACAGGGAATTGAAGCCTCATCCAAATTAAAGTCCTCTGTTCTAAAAGGCAAAGTCACATAAGCTGCACAAATTGTAGAAGGCAGAAACTGAGATAGCCTTGTAAAAATCTATACACTGGGGCGCCTGGGTGGCTCAGCTGGTTAAGCGACTGCCTTCGGCTCAGGTCATGATCCTGGAGTCCCGGGATTGAGTCCCGCGTCGGGCTTCCTGCTCGGCAGGGAGTCTGCTTCTCCCTCTCCCGCTCCCCCCTCTTGTGCTCTTTCTCTCACTCTCTCTCTCAAATAAATAAATAAAATCTTTAAAAAAAAAAAAAATTCTATACACTGTAAATGTGCAACAACTGCAAAAGTTTGTCTCTGTTCCAGGCACCAACATACGTCTGACAAAGAATAAGAAAGCAAAGAGTCACAGTCAGGATGGAAACTTATTTCCTGCCGCAGAATCCCATATCCCAGTCTGGGGACTGTCCTCTAGACTCCAAAGCAGGGCTGTGCTACCGTGTCAGTCCTGGGCTCCAGTGAATCATGTGTAAAGATGTTTTTAGCAACTCACCACCAGATAACAATGCTGAGGTTGCAATTTGGGGCTGGGCCAGGGGCCAGGGCCACAGAACCGGGCAGAGCATGCTGATAAGACACTGCACAGAAATGCAATGAGGGAGCAGCAGGGCCTTTCTGGTGGTGACTCCACACCCTTCTCTGCCTAAGCCAAAGGCAGCAAGCAGGCGGACACCCATCCAAAAGGCCTCGGGAGAAGGACACAAGAAAAAGCCTCATCTTCTTCAACTGCTTTTCTGTGCCACTGGGCACTGAGGATTGTCTGGAATCCTAGATGAGATTCATGGCTTTCAGACTTTGCATCAGCCTGGGAAATCTGTTCAAACCTCACCAGGAAGCCCCAAACGTAAACCAGATGCAAGTGGAGCAGGAGGTGCAGCAGCTAGGGGCTCTGCGGAGCACGGAGTGAGGCCCGCTCAATGCCCTGCAGGCTGTCTATCCGCCCTGCCTGCTGGGCCAGGCCTGGGCCACAGGGGCCAGATCCCCGTGCTCGCCAAACCACGTATCAGGCCTCTTTCTGCCTAAGTTTAGTGCCAATTTTTGAGGCATAATTAATACAAATTCAAATTCTATCTATGTTTCACCATAGATTAGCTCTCTTTGTTGTACCCTGAAGAGGATAAAAAGAGCCTTGTTAAGATACATAAAATTTCCTGAATTATTTCTGTCAGATCAGCTAATGCTGCCGTTCAGGTACCAGGAAAGAAGTTATAACAACAGCTGAAATATAGTTGATGGCAGGCTAAATGACTACCAGGAGAAAATAAATTCCCTTGTAGTGTTTTAATGACCAAACCAACCATAACATCTCCAAGGAAGGAAAACCCATTCCGGAGCAATACAATCCTAGCGCCTCACAGCAGTCTTGCAAGGACTACTCTTAACTATCCGTGCGAAGAGTACTGCACTGACGGTACATAAAATTACTAGTCCTATTAAGTGTTGTGTTCACTGCTTGGATAACTCTTGGCAGAGAGCCCTGAAATCAACTCTGACATGCTAGCCACTGGCCACCCATGACCTGGATGGTTCTGTGCCTGTTTCTTGATTGCTAGAACAGGGACAAGGACCCCTGCTCCTAGCTCCTTTCCATGCAAACACAGAGTGAAAGGGTATGTGAAATTACATGAAAATGCTTTAAGCTGGAGGCAAGGTAGCTTAAAAAGATAAAGTATTATCGGCTTCAGTAAGCCACCCTCGTGCCCAGGAGGAAGGACAGGTATTTGTGCTCTGCCGCGCATGCAGAGCGTGAATTCTGCCAAGTCAGCGACACTGATTCCGTAACAACAGCCAGGCTGTGTCCCAGAATGTGCTGCTGGCAAGGATGCCCCTCCGATATGCACAGCCTGTTTCTTCTTTTGCTTCTAATGTCTTCTCTGTCAGCTCCTTGGCACAGACCTTTTCAACATTTACCTCTCTTCCTTCTAGCGTCTGGATATCAGGTCCCTCTTCCTCCTTGAAACTGCTGCCAATGGAAATCCCTAAAGTGCAAATAGGGCCATCCTGTTTCTTCTCTGCTTGAACCCTGACCTCAGTGCCCCCTCCCCCCCTACCATTTGATCTGCAGTATAAAAGCCAAATACTTTAGCTAATATCTAGGCCCTGCATAATATGACTCTTCCTACCACTCAGGGCTCATCTCCCACCACTCCTCAGATCAGACCCCAGCATCCAGCTGAGCTTGTCTGTCTATCATACCACAACCCGCAGTACCATTCAGGCTGTGGGCTTTAGTTCACGTTGGAAATGCCTCTCCTAAAATCCTGACCTCCCCCCTTTCCTGTCCATTTCCCATTCTGTGTAGTCACTGTATCTAGCACGTTCTTCTTCTCTTTTTTTTGGAGAGAGAGCGGTAGAAAGGGGCAGAGGGAGAAGGAGAGAGAGAATCTTAAGCAAGCTCCACACCCAGTGCCACACTTCACTACCCTGAGATCATGACCTGAGCCAAAATCAAGAGTCAGACGCTTAACTGACTGGGCCACTCAGGTGCCCCTCCCTTTTAAAGATTTTTTTAACTAACCTCTACACCCAAAATGGGGCCAAAATGACCGTCCAGCCAAGGCCAGCACCCCAATCCAAAGGCCGTACCTCTGCCTGCCAAGCCAGTGTAGAAGCCGAGAGGGCGGATGTCCGGCCAGCCCCGAGAACAGCGATTGTTTCCCCATCATCATCTACCACTTTGAAGTCCAGGTCCTCGTTGTATTTTCTGCGCTTCACCTGCCGTCCTGAGCGTCGTTTCTGCAGGGCAAACATACCCATCAGAGAGACGCTCTGTGAGTCAAAGGCAAAAGCTTGCACGGGAAAGAATACACTCATCTACACTCACTAACATGCATGGGAGGCCTTTCCTACTTTACACAAGAAATCTTCCTTAAACACAACTCTTTTAAGAATTAAATTCACTCAAAATGAAATCTAGCTGAGGCAGAGGTTCCAAATTGCCAAGGTCCCCTGAGAAGAAGGTACATCTAGTCTCAGAATCCAGTGAGATGTGTTTTGTTCATCAATGACAGTGACTTTTTTCTTCTTTCTGGAATCAATTTCTATTCCAGTAAAACAGGGATGGGAAGTAAACTCCGTCATCTTTCAGATCCCTTCCAGCATAGCTGGAAGCTCTGACTTTAGGGAGATAGAATTGTTTTGGTTTTAGTCGAATTCACCATACTTACCATATATTTCTTTAAAAACTAAGTAATACCAATTTTATTAAGACTTACTTTGAGAATCTCATACCACTCCTTGAAATGCAAGGAGACATCTTAACTGTGACAAAACAAGATTCATGAGTCACCATCTGAGGACTCATCTATAATTAAGTAACTTGTGACCTTGTAGAGAGAAAACATCCTACAACAAAGCAGCCCAGTGGCTTTCCTCAAACAGAAGAGCACATGGTTCGTCTCATGTACACATCACATCCAAGCAGCAGAAACACTTCTGGGAACCATTCCCCAGCTGGTTCTCTCTCCAATACTTCAACCTTAAAGGGCAAAAACCAAAACCAAACACTACCTCCCTTATTTTTTAAAGCATACATCCTGGGCCTCTCTCTGTGTTCCCACTGTGTTTCTACACCAGGTCACCTCTGCGACATTTAATTTTGCCTGAGGTATTCCACATGAAAACCTGCCCCCCAGTCCCATGTACAGATCACCATCCTGGAAACACTCAAACCCCTGCGAACTCCCATCAACCCACCATGCCCGCTGCTCAGCCCATCAGGACACCTGACAGCCACTAGCCTGAGCTCACAGGCAGCGAGGGGGGTCTCTGCTCTGACACCCCAGACACTACTACTTATTACCACCGAGACATCAGATGCTGACACTTTCCTACAATGAAGACCATCTAGGAATCCGTGAGGGTTCAGAGGATACTTGAAGGTGCGGTAGCTGGATGATGTTACAGGGCCCCATTGCAGCAGCATAACCCAGATAAACTGTTGTGGATATCCGAGGAACAGCACTTTCAAATATCAGAACCCCTATCCAAGACAGGATGCCTCAACAGAGGGAGGAAATTCCTACCAGTCAGTCATGGGCTTACTTAGGCATAGTTTTAGAAATCTCATTCAGGTGGGCAACTCCTTGTTTCCATGTTTAGCCAAACTTCCTTGACTATTCTGGCAAAATTAATACAGACATCTCTGACTTTTCCAGTATCTGGGATTATGAAAATGTCCTTATGCACACTGGCCTAGCACTCTGAGCCCTAAAAGCATTACCTACATGGCAAGTCAGGCCCCCCAAGCCTTACCCAGAGTGCCCCACAATTCTGTTTTCCATATTCATTCTTTCTGCAGCCTAATACCATGCTACTTCCCAAGGAGGAAGCAAACACCACTAAAACAAAACCTTGGGAGATCATTAGTATAAGGATCAGGATGTTATGGGAAAAAGTCTGTGGTCTTCGGTGCTCAACCCCCGCAACAGTGAAAGCCCAGCCCGCGTCTGTGCACAAGGGGTGTGGCCTGGAGATGGAGAGAGAAGGGCAACAGAACCCACGTCAGCGAGATCTGTGTGGCAGCCATAACCTCCAGCAGGGCTCCCGGTCACAGCTGTACCTGGCTGTCTGCAGATTCAGTGGACTCCTCAGGACTCCGCAGGGATGAGTTCGGCAGGCCCTGATCCAGCTCTAAACTTTCCACTGTGGTTTCACTTTTCCTCTTTCCTTTCTTCTTTCTCTCCACTGGGGTTGGTCCTTGCTCCTTGCTACAAGGAGAAATTCAGAATTAAAACTCTTGGGCAGTTTTTAAAACTAAGTTCTCACGTGATAAAACTTACGGTATCGCATCCTGGAACTCTTGTCCTAGGGTAGGCTTTAATGGGGAATCTACAAGAGTTTCTTCCCAGAACTACACAGAAATATGGGAGGAAATACCTAAATGGCTTGATGCAGAGTTCACTTTTTTATACCCTATCATGACTATTTTGGCTATGATTAATGTGGTAAGAAATAAAATAATATGAACATCTCCAAAAACCTCACTTTCAGTTTATATGTCTTCTTTAGTAACTTTAATTGCTAGATATTAAGATACTGAGAATCAATAAATTTTAATCTCCCTTTAAGTTACATGAGAAGGGACATTTCCCTAATCTGTCACCATCCTCTACTGAAAATGGTCTACATAAGACTCAGAGTTAAGTTCTAGGAACTCAGAAATGAAAACAATACTGTCCCTGCCCTCGAGGAGGTTACAATTCTGAAAACCCTTCAGGCCACCTAGAGCCATAGCCCAGGGCAGTAGTTGAATGCCTCCTGAGAGAGGAGAAGACAGGCAAAGTCTATCCATCCTGCATGGTCCTGCTAAGATGGCAACACCTCTAAAAAGCTTTCCTTTTTCTTTCTTTCTTTTTTTAAGATTTTATTTATTTATTTGACACACACAGAGAGCGCAAGCAAGCACACAAGCAGGGGGAGCAGCAGAGGGAGAGAGAGAAGCAGGCTCTCTGCTGGGTGGGGAGCCTGATGTGGGGCTTGATCCCAGGACCCTGGGATAGTGACCTGAGCCGAAGGCAGACGCTTAACCGACTGAGCCACCCAGGCGCCCCTAAAAAGCTTTTCCTGACCCTCCTAGCTGATAAAATCTCTTTTCCATATTCCCAAAGCACCTCAGCTGTGCTTTGCTTAAGGTACTCAAACTCTGATCTTTCACCAAAGTTAGTCATTAACTATGACATCAGTCTCAGAACCACACGGAGGGAGGATCCTGTGTAGTTGCTCCACAAACAAGTGGATAAATATTTTATATGTCTCTGATCTCTCCTACTAGACTCTAAGTTCCTAGAGGACAGTATGTACTTGATTAAGGTTTGTACCCCTCACAGTGAGCAGTTTTATGCTTTATACATAGTAAGCATCCAATAAATGCTTATTGAATAGATGGATGCATCAAGATCACTCATCATTGGGGAAATGTGGGAAAATGCAACTGAGCAGGGATGTACATGGAACAGCAATTACAACAGTAGTAGTAATACTAATTATGGCTACTAGTTATACAGCACTTACTACATACAGGCACAGCTCTCTACGTCCCTCACATGGATTACCTCATTTAGTCTTCACATCAATCTTATACGGCAGATACTATTCCTCTCCTCATCTTATCAGGAAGCACAGTGAGGTTCAGTTAGATTTCCAGGGTAATATGGCTAGTAAATGGTGAAGAAAGGATTTGAACCCAGGCATGCTCTTAGCCACCCTGGCATTCTTGGGGAATGGAAGAGTGTGTTAAGCACACATCTGTTAAAGGACAGTCTGCATGGCTGGATGACAGGGCAAGTGAACAGAAGCACTAAGGAATGGAGCTGCAAAGAAATTCGTATATACCAAGCCAGAGAGTTCTGACTTCATTCTGTGTGACAAAGGCCAGATGGCAAGCCCAGGCAAGAGGAAATGAAGTTATAATCAATGAAAACTCAAAGGTGAAAATCATTTAAAAGGTCCAGCAGAAATACAACCAGTAAGTGTGAGCGAGGGACAGAATATGGAAGATGAGGAAGGAGCCAAAATCCCTAGCATTTTCTATCAGGTGTGGGGGAAGAGAGAGAAACAGATGGCCTTGTTAGAGGTGGGAAACCCAGCATGATGAACTTCTGTCAGGAATACCAATCCGTGCTGACTGCTGAAATCAGCCTGCCTCTCTCTTGAACACCCTTCACTACTCATGGACCCTCAATCAGGTCAGCACAAATAGTACATCCTCGATTTTCCGGGCTGAAGACCGGCTTGCCTACCTACCAAGAAAATTCTTTATGAAAATTATTTTGGTTCAACCTGAGGAAATGAAATTCAAGGGGTCTTGCCATTTTGGAGGATTATAAATTTCAATAAGGGACTTGTATTCTCAAACACGGAGGAAAAAACAAAGATTTTACTTATCAGTTCAGAAGAGGAGACACAGGTGAAACAGTTTATAAAGATTCTAAATTTTCATGGGAATATTTATGTCATGTTATATAGCTTCTCACTAAGAAAATTGTATAGCAATTTATGTTCTATAAAGCACTTGTGTGTTCCATGTCTCATTTCACTGTTAACAACAACAGTCTCATGAGGGAGTCAGGGCAGGTAAATGAACCTCATATTCCAGATGAAGAGACAGGTTTAAAAGCAGTAAAGGTCCCAAAGTCAGCAGCAGAGGCCCACACTCAGCTTGCGTGACCCACAGCCTGTTGCTTTTAACACCATATTGTGTTTTCTGGCTTTTTTTAAAACCCTAGTCTCCCTTTTAATGAATGTAAAAACTTTAAATCTCCTTTAATGTTATTTGAATCTCAAAATAATGACCAAAAGAATTAGCAACAAAATATTCCAATGACCCAAATACAGAAAAATAAATCTACAAACCCATAGTTGTTGACAGTTTTTTAAATGGATCTCTCAACAAAAGAAGGTTTGTGCTTAATTTTTTGGACACAAATTTAATGATAGCTGATTAATATACTAAGAGTCACCATAATAATCACATGCTCAGGGCCCTGTTTAATCTTCTGTAAAATCTGAAATCCTTTCTCCCAACAACTGAAATCAATTTATCTATCTACTAAATATAACTTCATTATATTAGAACACTTTGTCTATATGTTTAATCTTCATTATATGTATATATTTATATATATACTCAGAACTACTCAACTCACACTCAAAATCAAACTCAAAACTAAACCAAGCTCAAGCCATAATTAAGGAACCGAACCTCCTCAAAATACAAATCTTTACTACAAGACTTTACATATTTTATATTTGCCTTCCATTTTTCAGAGTCACATTAAGTAATGAGTGTAAGGAAGAGTTACTGAGGCACTTCCAAAGTCAAGCTGGGACACTACTAGATTTTCCTAGCCAGAAGCTGGGGCCAGTGTAGAGTAGAGGGAACACCTTCTCAAATGTGTTGGTAAAACAGGAAAATGACTGGTGAAACCTGCTTGCTTATCTGTGGGTAAGTAAGAAGATACTCTAGCTGGGAAATCTTCAAAGTGATTTTCTGTAGGTTACCTTTGGCAACAGAATCAATTTTGAGTTCCAAAAATTCTTCTTGGAACTTTTCTGATGAAGACAAGTATCAGGAAGAAAAGATTCTTTATAAGCTTATAAATGGGATTTTCAAATAGGACACAAGAAAATATCACCAAATTTATTGTCCAGGAAGATTAGATGAAATGTGTTTTCTCCCTCTTTGGAATAACTTTTGAAAACTTTATGCTTGAGTTTTATCAAATGAAGACATTTAACCTCCAAACTGCTCTACCTACAGATGGATTTGGTCCATGGATGCTTGTTTGCTCTCTGAAACCCAGGTTCTTCAAAAATAGTGGTCAAATAATATGTAACAAAACTACACATGTATATACCCTTTGAACTAGCAATTCCATTTATAGGAATATACTCTAAAGATACACCTCCAACGATATGAAAATATACACGAGTGAGGTTACTCACTGCAGCATTGTTTAGTAATTGCAAATTAATAGAAACTACCTACATAAAGAATAAAAGTGAACAAATTCAGATACCTACAGTAGAGTACTATGCAGCCGTAAAAACAATTAAGAATCCTACACACTGATGTGGAATGATTTCTGAGATACACAGCTAAGTGTGAAAAGCTAAGTGCAAAATGGTGTATTATGCTACCTTTTGTGGAAGGATAAAGGGAAAATAAGAAAATATATCTATTTATATTTTAAAAAGAGGGGCACCTGGGTGGCTCAGTCAGTTAAGTGTCCAACTTGATTTCAGCTCAGGTCATGATCTCAGGGTTGTGAGATCGAGCCCCACATTGAGCTTCATTACAGTACTGTACTGTATTTATTGGAAAAAATCTGCATATAAGTGGACCCATGCAGTTCAAACCTGTGTTGCTCAAGGGTCAACTGTATTTGACTGTATACTTTCAGCTTTTGGAGCAGTGAAAAAATCCTGAACTTTTTGGTAGGCATGTGGGTGAAGCAATTTTGAAGCCATTTTAGATGTGATATGGGATTAAGCAAACGAGTACATGTGTTGATGTGTTGATGTGAGGAGCCGGGGTTCTCACTGAGGAAGAGGGAAGATGTAAATATGAAATGCTGTAAGGCAAGGAAGATAAAAGGGGATGATAATAGGGTATCTAAATTGGAGGTATCGGCATGGACTCAGATTTTCTAAAATAAGCATATATATGAACACATGCATATAAATGTGCATACATGTATTATGGATATATTATGCATGTGTGCATATAGGTGTGTGTACATATGTGTGCACATGTATGTGTGTTTCCCCCTTGCTTTGACAACTCAAAGAGCCAAAAAGTGAAGATGCCCCATTAGCAATGTGCACACTCAGCACTCACAACTTGGTTTCTAATACCAAAGTTCCTTACAGAAATAGCCGATTCCAAGGCTGAGGTAGGGAAGATATGAGATGAGCCTGAAACATTCTTGCTATGTCAGAAAGTAAGGGAGTGCTAAAAAAAAATGAAGGCAGCATGGCGAAAAGACATAGGAATTAACCTGAAGAGCTATTGTGGGTCAAAACTGGGACCATCTGAGCACCAAAGTAACTAAGGACAGTAATGAATTATAGAAGCTGAGAATAATAGGAATCCATACCAGTACTGGATAAATAATGAATAAATAAGGGAGAAGGGAGGGCTCTTGCTTACTAAAGAGCCCAAACGGTAAATACAGAGGAAAGGTGGAGTTGGAAAATCATTTTGTAA